GCATTGATATATTTCGGACTTGAAGAACAAAAGAGGCTGCTGATTATCTTTTTCACTCTAGAGTCATCTTCAAGCCTCAAGTCTAAGTGCTTACAGATTTTGTTCATGAATTTCAGTTCTTTATACACTCGGCGATAAAAGAACTGAAATCATTTTGGTTGTATTCTTTACTTTATTTTGATTCAAGCATTTTGGGAATCACACTTAAGGAGTAAGTGTGAGATAATAAGTCCACGGGACGTGGCCGGAGAATTAGTTGATAGGCTAGTTCATAGTTGTGGCTAGAATAAAAGGGAGTTCTATTGTGTAAGTCCAAACTATGTTTTTGATAGCTATCAATGAAAGAGCTCTGAGGGGAAGTGGGATGCTTCCCTGAAGAGTTTTTAAATCTTTGGTTATTGCTTCCGCAAATTTTAGTTTTTATACTTTTTCGTACAACGTTGAGCGCACTCGCGATAAATTTATACGTTTCAGACTATATGACTGTGGCGGCGCTCTATGGGGTGGCCGGTGGCTGCGGCGACACTCTGTGGAGTCGCCGGTGGCTGGCGTGCACAGATCGATTCTCGTGAGTGTATGTGTGTGGGTCTGCGTGTGTGCGTGTGAGAGAGAGAGAGATGGGTGACAGTTGGGGTGGGACGATTTAATTGTGGGTGGGGCCCATTAATGTGGTGGGGTAGTTGGTGTGTGAGTAAAAATGTATGTATTACCCTTAATGAATGTATAATTTTGGCTTTTTTATCCATTAGATCATCAGATCCGATGACTACAATTTATTCTTATTTCTTTCACTGAGCACCATTCTCGCTGGAGCGCGACCCTATATATATATATATATAAATTACTATTATTATTAACCAATTATATATTCACACTAAATATTTGTGGAAGTTATACATTTATAAAAAATTATATACAAACTTTTTCAAGGTATTATTTTAAAATTATTATTATCTTTTTCTTTTTATATCATTAAGTGGATTTTTCAAATAGCTAATTGATTTTAAAACCCTTTCGACAACTAATTTTCCGGTTAAATCTTCCGCATGTATTTTAAGTCGAAAGGCAATTTATTTAATAACTATGATTTCATTTCAATTGTAGTGATTCTTTTATAAATTCACATTCATCCCGCCTTGGCCAAGGTCTTTGAATCACAAATTATGAAATCATAAGAAAATCACTTATCCACATAAGTGTCGAATTCTATGTAAGCCACAGATAAATCTCCATACACATTGATATAGTACTTAAAATATCTCTTTTATGATTGTCCATCAATCAAATGATAAATCAAAGTAAAGCCAACATGAACAAGATTACTATCGTGGCTCAAGTCAGCGGATCAACCCATGTACTATCGCAACATGAAAATCTTATTCAACATTTAAAAACTTCCAATTAAAAATCTTATTCAACATTTAAAACCCATGCCTCATATATAGCTAACATTTATCTAATTAAGGAGGTGAAAATATAATACAAATGCAAAGACATAAAATAAAGTGATGCCGCAAAATAATATAATTTTCAATAGATTGTCCTTACAACTAGAAAAAAAAAATCCAATCGGATTGGAACGCCGAGTATTTTTTTCTTTTTTCAAACGATATCAAATCTCATAACATTGAAAATGACGAGTACAAATCGGAGAGCTCACTAGCCCTTACAAGAAAAACAAACGAGAGGAGAACCACGCCAACATGGTTTTTTCCTACTATAACATGTTATATAAGTTTACTATTGATTCAGAAATAGCAATTATAAGAGCAACAGCTACAGTAACCGTGCCAATTTCTGGATTTCGTACGCAGTCTGGTAAGTATTTTGTGTTAGAGTAGAATGTCCGGCGTTCCAATCAGATTGGATTTATTTCTACTTATAAAACAATTTATTGGAAATTATATTATTTTGAGGCATAACTTTATCTTATGTATTTGCATTTATCCTATATTTGCACATATGATAAAGTCCTTAGATCATTATTAGCTATGAGACATGGTTGCGCATATGATGGCAATCATAGAACATGTCTTTAAAGTTGTGATCTTAAATAAGTTTCAAGTCGATGGGTGTTTCGAGACAGGACGTCGAATAACCCGGTAAGAATTGTGCATATGATGTATGCTCATCGGATGAGAATGTTGCATTCCATCAACATTAGCGTGTGGACGCGAATGCATATATGCGGGTGCTTGTTGAAGAACAAGTTCACTGAACATGGCCCGATGAAAATTCTTAACTGGAAGTTTTAACTGTCGAATAAGAATTTTCATGTTGCAATAGTACATGACTGATCCTCTGACTTGAGGCACGATAGTAATCTTGTGCATGTTGTGCTTTACTTTGATTTATCCTTTGATTGCTGGACAATCATAAAAGAGATATTTTGGGTATTGTATTAATATGCATGGAGGTTTATCTGTGGCCAACAAAGAATTCGACACTTATGTGGATAAGTAAATTTCCTATGTTTTTCATAGTTTGTGATTCAAAGACCTTGGCCAAGGCGGGATGAATATGGATTCATAAGGGAATCACTAAACTTGAAATGGAATCATAGTTATTAAATCAATTGGGTTTCGACACATAAAACCATGCCCAAGATTTAACCGGGAAATTAGTTGTTGAAAGGATTTTACATGTATGCACTTGCAATTAAAAAGGTTTACTCGCTATTTCACTTAACACTAGATAATCATGCTACTTGCTAGGTGTTCCCATGATTTGTGGGTTCTTGAAATTAAGGAGTTAATTTCAAGAATATAAATTAATTAGATTAATTTAAATTACAAACTAGTTGTAAACCCACTACTAGTGTTAATCGTGAACCTAAAAGGGTCACACCAAATTTTGGATGATGACAATTTTGAAATTGGTATTTCCAATAGTTGGATTAATTGACAAGACTTAATTAAATAAATTTGATTATTTAATTAAATCTAATTTTTATTAGATGTCAATTAAAGGAATAAAATAAATTAATCAATTAGATTGATTAATTAGGCTTTGGATATTAATTAAGTAATTATTGGAATTACTAAATTAATAGTTGAATTTTAAAGTTGGACTTTAAAATTTCAAATCCAAATATTAATATGATTATATATATTAAAAGCCTACTTAAAAGAGGAGATTTTATTTTACATGGGAGATAAGATTTTGGCCAATTAATTTTGAAAGTTAGTTTCATAAATTATATGTCATTATTTTTATTTAATCTTTAATTAAGATTAAAGATTAAAATTAAAATAAAAATAAAAATTTGATGATGATGAATTATTGGAATCTTCATTATCATATCCACCTCATTCTTACATAATTAAGTATTTTAAAATTAGTTTTGGTGGAATGGAGTTTCTTACCATTTTTAAATAAATAAAATAATAATTGATGGGTGGTGTTGTTAACCCATAAGCATTTATATAACTCACTTTAGATGAGTTTGAATGATAGAGGATATGAGAATTGAGATGTACGCAAGAAAAATAGATCTCCCATTTTTCAAGAGAAGCTCTCGGATTTTTGAAAAAAAAAAAAAAAAATCTCCTCTCAATTTAATTCCTTATACCGATTCGATTCCGGAAAATTTCTACTAGCAAAGAAATTGTTCGCGGAGTCGGAATCCAAAAGGTGGACTCGATTAGAGGGGAGACACTTGGATCCCTTATGGTTAGATACACGAAGACGGTGATAGCCACATAACCGGAAATTGATTTCCTCTTCATCGTCACTATTTGAAGAAAATTAAAGGTAACTAGTATTCGACCTGTGCATTTGCACAGATATAAATAAATTATTGTGAGTCTGTATGCATATAATAATTAATTATTTTTCTTTCACTTTTTTGCAGACCAAATTTACAATTAAAAGAGTTGTAATATTTTTTTTTGTAAATTGCGTTTATCTGATTGGATGTAATGTATATTTTAGTATGTCTTTTATCTGTGAATTATTTATTATTTATTTATGAATTTCAAATATATTTTTTATTTAAAAAAAAATTAAATGTAACAACAATAATAACATCTAAGCACATTATACGGTCAACACATTATATGGTCAACTGTCATTAATCAAAAGTTTAAAATGATTTTTGTAATTTTGAAGTAATGAGTATTAATTATTTAATGATTAAATGAAAGATTAAATACATGAAAATGTAACGGTTTTTAGAGGGAAATTTGTTAAATTGTCACATAGGTAAAATTAAATAGGTTTTATTAAATGTTATTAGCTAGTAATTATATATATATAGATTTTCGAAATTCTCTACAAATCAAAATTCGTATTTTTACGTGATTTTAAAAGATGCCGATCATTTTATTCGCTATATATACTTACGGATTAAGTATTTATTTGATAAATGATAATTATATTGTATAATTTTCGCTGCGATTTTAGTCCGTACAGTACAGCGAACCCAACATTTTGTGGAACGTTTTGAATTTTTTTTGCAGAATTTTTTGCATGGAGAATCGTATCCTGTCTTGACTGATGTAATGCAATTCGACGGAACATCTCCCTCCCCCTCTGCGAAAGATCACACACACACACAAACAAACACACCAAAGAAAAATGTAAAAAAAAAAATGAAAAATTTTAGGTTAACATTATATATGAATAATAGTCAATCCATGACATTATTAATTGCTGTGAACAAAAATAAAATAAAATCAAAGGACTGGATATGATACAAAGAAATGGAATGGAGTACCTGCTAAAAGAGCAGCAATAAGGAAAATGCAAACGATTGAGAACTTGTAGTTCGCCATTACTTTAGGGACTGCAAGATATAATAATTAATTTTGTGTGTTATTGCGTATGGTTTGAGTTTGAGAGGGTATGCACTTCATAGTCTGTGGTGCCCTTTTTATAAGTGAAAATCAAGGCATAAATGGGGTCTTACTTGAAAATATTTTAAGTGAAATTGGTTTTACTAATTTGAAAACTATAACTATTAAATTGGGCCGTGCTTTTGTGCTATCACTTTTCTTCAGTTTGGTCAGCCATTTGCGGCACATGATGGTGACACCTAATTTTTTGCTTCTACATCTTTCTGGCTACTATTGTCCGAACAGGTGGTGTATTGCTCAAATTCCTAGTGATATCATCCCAAACACATATAATATTAAATACACACTTCGTGAATAATTCATAGTATATGCTTAAATATAAGATATTTTAATACTTTTAAATTTAAATTCTTGGAAATCTTATGTCTTGAGGCGAGTTTTGATGTGAAATTTCATAGATGGTTTTTATTTATGAAATCTCAATAAGTCTTGCAAAATGCAGACAAATCAAAATAATAAATAAAATAAAATTCCTAATGATATTTAAGAATTTTTTAAATCTAAAGTGAGTCTAAGAGTTTTAGAAGTATTAAAAAGTCCAAATTAAGTACATCAAAAATATAAATGACCAAGGTTCGAAATAAGCGCCACGAACCTCCCCAAAAAACATTACAAAGACATGTTTGCTTTATTTTTTTCTTTTAATTAAATCCTTAAACAACAAACTAATCAATGAATATTTAATCTCTCTCTCTAACTATATATATATATATATATAATTGCTAATAAAAACATTAATAAAACTATTTAGATTTTTCGTCTTTTTCATTACAATTCAATAGTAGTATTATTTTTGTAAAATCAGTAACTGAAACTTAATCAATGACTTTTAACATAATTGTTAATTAAAACATAATCATATTTTTAATTATTCTATAATAGTTATTACTTAAACTAAACAATTATAATTTCAATAACAACATGGAAGAAACGTTTAAGTCAAATAAATAATAATATATATCTATATCTATATCTATATATATATATATATATATAAAGAGGAGCAACAAAGCATTAAATTATATTATCATGCATTAAATTTTAATTCTCCCTCCAAAATTTTTAACATTCAATTTCATTTTTAAGTTACAAATAATTTGCTTGAATGGCATAAATTATGAACATAAACCAATTAAGGGAGTTACAAAATTGTACTCAAATTTTAAGTCACGCCCACTCATGAAAATAGCCGGGTGTATTAGCATGAAGAAAATGATTGTAACGGCTCTTCCATAGCAATTACTTGATCAAAATCAATTTTGAGAATTATTTTCTTAATTTATATTTTTTTTCATGAATTAAATTATAATTTTTTTTTACTTTTTTTATATAGTTATCTTTTTAAAGTATTATTCTCTGTGCAAATGCACATGTTGATTACTAGTATATTGAAAGAGGTTGATGAAATAATATAAAATTAGTAACTTTGACTTTATAATTAAATATGTTGACTTACTATTAAAGCAAAATATAGTAAAAATTAATTAATATTTATTAAAAAAATAAATCGAATTATACATACTTGTAGTAAATCGTGCAATTCATTTAATAGTACAAATTTCTATATAAATAAAGTGGTACCAATTTTGAAAATTATTTTGTGATAATCATCGCAATAGAAATTCGATTCTTCATATTAATTATGAATCACTACGATTTTTTATTCTTTTTGTAACCATCCATACAACATATATACAAAAAAATATCTATTAAATTGGTTTTGTTTTAAAAAAAAATTATTTAAATATGCACTATAAAATTACAAATATAGTTACAAAATAAAACTTAAAAGTCAATTATGGAAGTTTTATTATGATATTTATCATAAGGTTACAATATAAAATCTTATTTATCAACAATAATAACAAAATCGCGGTGATTTCTTATTCATTTGGTAACAATCATAGCTTTAAAGACATGTTCCGTGACTTTCATCAAATGCGCAATCATGCCTCATAGCTAACATTGACCTAAGGAGGTGCAAATACATAACAAATGCAAAGACATGAGATAAAGTGATGCCGCAAAATAACATAATTTTCAATAAAATGTCCTTACAAGTAGAAAAAAGATCCAATCAGATTGAAACGTCGAGTATTCTATTATAACATGTTATATATGTGCACTATTATTAAGGCAGCAACTACAGTAACCGCGGCCAAATTGTGGATTTTGTGCGCAGCTTGGGAAGTATGATTCGTCAGACGTTGATAGTGTAGCGCATTTTGCGGTGCACGTAGAACCGCAGTCAGTGTCGATTTCTCGCAAGCAACCCAACGACCGAACAACTCTCACCTCCTCTGCGAAAGATCACACACACACACGCAAACACACCGAAGGAAAATGTAAATAATGACAAATTTCAAGTTAACATTATTGTGTACCATTTATGAATAATAGGCAATCCATGACATTCTTCATTGCTGCGAAAAANAAAAAAAAAAAAAAAATCAAAGGACTGGATATGATACAAAGAAACGGAATGGAGTACCTGCTAAAAAAGCAGCAATAAGAAAAATGCAAACGATTGAGAACTTATAGTTCGCCATTACTTTAGGGACTGCAAGATGTAATAATTAATTTTGTGTGTTATTGCGTATTGTTTGAGTTTGAGAGGGTATGCACTTCATAGTCTGTGGTGCCCTTTTTATAAGTGAAAATCAAGGCATAAATGGGGTCTTACTTTAAAATATTTTAAGTGAAATTGGTTTTACTAATTGAAAACTATAACTATTAAATTGGGCCGTGCTTTAGTGTTGTGCTATCGCTTTTCTTCAGTTTGGTACGCCATTTGCGGCACATGATGGTGACACCTAATTTTTTGCTTCTACATCTTTCTGGCTACTATTGTCCGAACAGGTGCTGTATTGGTCAAAGAGAAATGTTATAGGTACATAATAATGTATATAAGAGTATACATAACACTCACATTTAGTGAAACCCACTAAAAATAAAAAATTAAGTGGACCCTACTCAATGTGAGTGTTATGTATACCTCTATGTAAATTTATTATGTACTTATAGCATTTTTCATACTTAAATATAAGATATTTTAATACTTTCAAATTTAAATTTTTGGAAATCTTATGCCTCGAGGTGAGTTTTAGTGTGAGATTCCGTAGATGTTTTTATTTGTGAAATTTCAGTAAGTCTTGCAAATCCAGACAAATCAAAATGATAAATAAATTAAATACCTAATGATATTTAAGAATTTTTTAAATCTAAAGTGAGTATAAGAGTTTTACAAGTATTAAAAAGTGCAAATTAAGTACATAAAAAATAGAAATGACCAAGGTTCGAAATAAGCGCCACTAACCCCCCAAAGACGTTACAAAGACATGTTTGCTTTATTTTTTTCTTTTAATTAAATTCTTAAACAATAAACTAATCAATGAATATTTAATCTCTCTCTCTAATTCTATATCCCCTCTATATATAATATCAGAATGCGCTAAGCCTACGTGGCAAACTCTTATGCTTCAGAATCTTATTTGGCAAAAAACCATGCTTTGGAGTTAGGTTTTGTTTTATCACAAATATACTTAAGCGAAGAAAATAAAGTGATGATTTTTAAATTAATAAAAGAAATAATTGAAGGCGAATTTCAAAGATTTTCTCGCCATGGAATATACATAAGAAAATAACATAGATTAAGTTTCCACTCATAACTTTAAACAATTAAAATCATATTAGGATTCTTATATACTTAAGCAAATAAAATCATATTGATTTAACTCTTTTCTAGAGCAGAAGGCATATATTTATTTAAGATATATATTTTTGAACTTATATAATAGTAAATAATATCGATATTTTTATATGATATAAGGAAAAAAATTCAAAAAAATATTATCAAAAAAAGTTATCTATAAAATTAGAATGTATAAAAAGGATGGTGAAAATTTCAAACATGTTAGGATTCTTATAAACTTAAGCAAATAAAATCATATTGATTTAACTCTTTTCTAAAGCAGAAGGCATATTATTTTTATTTATTTAAGATATATATTTTTGTACTTATGTAATAGTAAATAATATCGATATTTTTATATGATATAAATAAAAAAAATTCAAAAAAAATATTATCAAAAGAAGTTATCTATAAAATTAGAATGTTATGAAAAGGATGGTGAAAATTTCAAACATGTTAATAAATTCAATTTTAACATCCATGAAAATATTTTTGCCATGTTTTCAAAATATTTATACAAATATTTTAAAATAATTTATATATAGAAAAGTAAGACTTTTTTATTGAACTATAACAACTATTCATGAATATTTATTTGCACGAATATTGCTAGGTCGATGCAATTTTTTCATGAATAGTGTATATTTTTAATGTGCACGAATTCATATTTTTAAATATTTATTTTGATTTTGTATTCATACAAATTATTGATTTATAATTCATTTTATACCTTCACACTAACACTTATGCATGCGTAATGGCTGGCTCGCGCGTTTCGGAAGCTTACTTGGAAATAAATTATATTTATCCTTCTAACAATAATAATTTTTTTAATATTAATTAAAAAAAATTAAATTATTTATAGATTAATATATTTACAAACAGAATGTGGTATTTTCTATTTTTGCACTTTTATACGACAACATGTGTTTTTTCTATTATTTTATGTTTTATATTTTTTTTTCAAACAATCCGTGTAGTACACGGGTGTCGTACTAGTATATATATAATTGCTAATAAAAACATTAATAAAACTATTTAGATTTTTCGTCTTTTCATTACAATTCAATATTATTTTTTTAAAATCAGTAACTGAAACTTAATCAATGACTTTTAACATAATTGTTAATTAAAACATAATTGTTATTACTCAAACTATACAATTATAATTTACACTAAATGATATATGAAAAGTCAATAAGTATAAGAAATTATATTGCAAAATTTTACTATTTATTGCTCTTAAATTTTTTTTTTAATAAGCTAATTAGCTTTAGTGGTATAACCAAACTTCTTAAAATTTAATAGATAATAATAATAATTTTCAAAACAATATTATCTGGCCATTTCATTTATGCAATCAATATAGTTACAAATTAATACTTTTCTAATATTTATTTTTATTAATTACAATTTTTTTAAAATGTGATATAATTATTTAATTTATAATTTAAATATTATATACGTACACATACTTTATAATAATTTAAATATTTTTGCATATGCAATTATGCACATGATGGAATATTAATATGATATGAAATGGTAGTAAGCGATTTTATTGAAAATCGTGAAAAAAAAACGTGGCGAATGTCAACGAATGTTGAAAAATCGTGTTTTTTTGAACTGTCAGCATATAAAATGTGCAACTTTAATTTAATATATTTTAATCTCTACAAAGCCGTCAATTTCCCAAAGTGTGCTAAAGTGCATCTCTAATTATATGCTGATATAATAGGAAATTAATTTTAAAATATATGGAACTTGGGGTCATGTTGATTGTCAAATAACAAAGCCATGAATTACGCATAATCTTTATAACAAAGATATACACCACCAATTAGTAGGGTAACGCTTCAGTAAAAATAAAACATAGTGAAAAAAATAAGAATATATTGTAACCATTGGATCAAATGATTCAACAATAATTAAAATTTAAGTATTTATATAATCATTTAAAGGTATTTTAGACATTTTATTATCAATTGTGGGACACATACCAATTACCCACTCACATGTACACACCCAATAATTATATGTCACGTGGTCACTACATACCATAACCTCCCACCTCTCTCTCTCTCTCTCTCTCACACACCACACGCACACACTGTGGATAGTTGAGATGCAAATAAATGTATAACTAAGTAGTTTTGTCATTTCCTTTTATTTGAAAATTTAATGCCACTCTCATCGTCATCTCAAACACAAATATTTTGTTTTCAGCATTATATATGTGAGTAGGTTGGAAATATTTTTCCGTTTTTCATGATTTAATTTTTGATTAAATGACCTTATGAAAATTTAATTGATCTATAACTGTAATTAAGTAACCTAATGCACACATACACACGCGCGTGCACACACAGAAACACACACTTACATGACCTCGTTTCTACTGCCGCCATCGCCCGCCATCGCCAGACTCGACGTCATCCCATCATCGTCGCCAACTTCCTCCTCTGTCGCCATCATGTTTCTACTCCGACCACCACCGTATTTCCCTTCATACAAGTCGGAGATTGACACCGCGGAGCCATGGCTCGACAACGGAACAACTGTTGTTACTGATCTCAGGCGCCGATGACATCAGCCAGAGAGTGACCTGGTCGCGACAAAATTGGCCGATGCGCTCGGTTTATTGTGACCTAATTAAAACTAACAAATCAGATGTGAATTTCGATCTCGTCCACAGGCGTGCAGTCGACGGCGAGATTGGCAGCAAGCTGGCTCTGGCGAGAGGACGATTATGTAGAGAGCTGCTATCGGTTTAGCTCGCGAGACAAATCTGTAATTTATAAAAAGTTATAAAAAATATTATTTTTAATATATATATTTTTATATCACCAAAAATTATATAAAATATTAAACAAATATATTAAAATAATATATATTTTTATAATATAACTAATAATTATTTTGAATACCTGATCGAAATAACCCGATTATCTCGTTCGATTTTAATTTGGAATTGCACATAAAAAAAATTACTCATAAAAAAAATTTCCACAATAGTGATACATAAAACGCACAATAGTGATATACCAAACGGACATTAATATGTTATAGAATTCACATAGCATAATAATGAATTCTGCTCAACGACACCGCGTCTAGGATATAGTAATGGTTTAGAAAGTCGGACCGGACGTGCCGATTCGATCGGTTCAACCGAGAACCGGCCATCACAACAGTCCGGTCTAGGATGTTAATCCGTTGGGCCCAAAATCCATTTAGACCGTTCAAAAACCGGTAGAAACACGGAGAACCGAGAACGACTCTAGTGGCCCAGCGATTTTTCAGAGTGTTCTATTTTGACTTCTTAATAGAAACACTTCAATGGTTTGATGTTTTTCCAACGTGAGACCGTTGCTTTTTCTTCTAACTTTCTCTTTTTTTTCTTTTTTCTTTTTTTTTTTTTTTCTTTTTTTTTTTCTTTTTTGATATCGAGGTTCCAGGCTTGCGCCTGACTAGTCCTCGAGGAAACAACTCCGGCCCCTCAGACACTGCCTCCAATTAAACTGCGGTAGCCACACAATGGCTCCTAGGTACTTAATACCCTCAACTACCGCGCACAAGGAGTCGATCCCCAAGTGATCGCTCGCTGGCTCTCCCAGCTCCAAGTTGGCCCCACCTATCCAGCCGCTGGTCCCACCGAAGTGATCGCTCGCTGGCCCCCCCAACTTCATGCTGGCCCCACCTATCCAGCCGCTGGTTCCCACCGAGTTTCAGCCTCCCACACTGCCGCTTCTAGTCCTCAGTATTAATTGTTCCACCATTGCGCTCCGAGGGACTCGAACCCTTGAGCTCATGGGTGCCTCACTCTTACCACTAGGCCAAGAGGTCATTGCCAACTTTCTCTTTTTGTACCTTTTTGCTTGTGTTGTTGGCCAAAAACCCAATGATCACATTTCAATGGGGCCTTTCGGCAGTTTCTAATTTTTTTTATATATATATAAGTATACATGTGAAATATAATTACTGCAATGGCATGTAGAAAATAAATGGAAAACTTTATTGATTAATTGTTTATTCTTATTGGAACACATTCAATGTGAAAGTGTCACATCTTTTACCTTTAAAATGTCATGTCCATTATTCTCAAGGTATGAAAGATAAGTGTTGATTACTATAAAATACATGCATGATTATCTTCTGCTGAGCTTCTGACAATAATATAATACTCATTTTGTAATTAATTTTCTCATTTTGTCAGTTTAGAATTGTAAAGTTTTCAATTTACCAATGACAACTCTAGTTAAAGCCATGTAAACATAAATAGCTGAATAATAATGTAAACCTCACTTTTTCATTCCAATAGTAGCTGAATAACTACCAAACTTTTTCAATGGTCCTTTATACCATAGAGGATGAAAATTATTTCTAGAAAATATAGGGAACACAATAACCAAGATCAAGAGCAAAGAGTATATTAAATCTTTAGTCATCAGAACATCAATCAAGAGTAAACAATTTCTTTTTATGTATGACTAACTAATAAATTTGGATAGTGACACTATACAATACAGGGTGAAGGGGCCGTTTGCAGAGAAGAGATATATTAGCTGCTTTAGATGGTTCCAATGTCTTGTGGAACTGCATTTATTTGATTATGCATTAACTTATAAGTACAAATATTTACACGTGAATACAATTTATCCATCCAAAGTGCATCATAATTTATACGTACATCATAATTTATACATTAGACTTAAGGAGAATAGGTTCTGCAAGATCATGTATATTTTGATATTGATTCGAAAATGTATAATTTGTTATCTTCTAATGTTTCTTGAAATAGGATACTTGGATGGATTACGAAAAGTAAAAGGAAATATACAATTACTTCACAATATTGTGTATAAATAATGTATATTCATTAGTGTGATCATTCAATTAGTGTGTTGAGTTCATGAGTCAAGTATAATCATTCAATAAGATGAAGTGTATAAATAATGTCTATTCATTAATGTGTTGAGTTCATGACTACTAGTCGATGATATTTTTTTTTTTATTTTTTTTTTGGTACAGAGATGGCGGGCAGAGCCCGAAAGTAAAACTCTTCGTGGGATTGCCAACTAGTCGATGATAATTAATTACACACATTCATAAACTCAATAAAACAAGTGTGTGAGTCACTTTTAGTAATATAAAACATAATTTCAGCCTGAAATTTTGTATTTTTTTAAGTTCATTAGAGTTGCTTCTAATAAATACGATACAATGAGTACTTAAGACTCAATAGTATGTACTAACATACTATAGAATGAGTACTTCTACACTATTGTGTCGGTATAAATCTCATAAATATTGAACAAAATTAGAGTAATCAATTTTTATTGATTAGTCAGTACTAACTGATTGGTAATAGATATTGTCATACAATGCATCTGGTATCATGTTTAAGACAAACATGTAACATATTACTAATCGTAATTTCTTTATCTATTATGTCCCATGAATTGCTCAAGTGGTTGAAAAATAGATGAATTCTTTGTGTGTTGTTGTAGTCTAATGTCTCAACCTTAGCTACGGGGTTTGTCTCTAGGCCGCTTTTATGCATGTCCTCCCATGTTTTTCTTTCGATCTTTGCCGAGTTTTCCCAATATAATATCCTCTATCGTTTCGAAAAAAACAAAATAAAATTCAACTTTCAAAAAACCTTAAAAAATCTTGCATATGAAAACAGCCAAGATTGAATAAGTATCCATAACAAAGCATATGACTTTGAATTACCAACAATGCGATATCAAATGCAACAACCAACTATTATCTAAATCCATTACATAATAAGCCAAATCGGCTCATAGCATGCACCACTTCAGCGTCAACATAAGATATTGTTCAAGGCGAATTCCAAACAGATAGAAAACGATAACGACCATCCCCAATTCAAAACACCTCGAGAACTATGCATAAAATATCTTTTGACCTGCACAACACAAGTTTTCATAGCGCAATGTGTTCAACGCATTTCACGATCACCAAAGTATATGAACATAAAAAAATATCGAAACAAATAGCCAAGAACTTAAGCCAAAAGGGACCTTGCGCAAATATGTCAAAACGTTCTACCTGTTATCTTTGTTGCATGCGTGTTTATTTCTTCTCGTCCTCTTTGGGTGGGGTCTTGTCTTCTTCCTTGTTCTGCAGGTAAGTATACGTTACTCCTACCAATTCAAGGAAAACAATAAAACACACACACACACACACACACACACACACACACACAAAATAATTAAACAACCAATGTCACATTTACAGATCAGAGACAACTCGTACTATGACTTCTTTTTTGAAGATTTCATCCTTTATCTAATGACAGCTCCCGAAAGTCACTCATGAGTCATGAGTGTAAAGCTACTAACAAAGTGATCAGTGCAAAAGAGAGGGAGGTTTTATTAATGTAAAACGTAAACTAATATTCTAATCAGAATTAAGTATAAAATCAAGATAATTTTCTTCAAGCAATATTGATCGCTTAATTTTACCTCAGATGGACTCTGCATAGAAGCCAGCAAATCTTTGACGTGTGGATCATTCGGATCAACTCCAGGCAGCTGTAAAAGCGAGTTGGCCATGAAATACAACAGTAAATTGTGGATTGGTGTTTGCTTCAATACAAGATAATCAATCTAAAATGAAACTATCACAAGAAAAGCAACAATGTTCAGCATAGTAGTTACTTGGGAAAGTATGGTGGACATAAAGGACTGGTCTCCCAACAGCTTATTCACATCTGACTGATTGGATTGTTCTCCTGAACTGTCTTGAACAGATAATTGAAGCGCTACAAGAATCAGAAGCGAATCATTGAGTCACAAGGGTAGCTCCATCAGGTAATCCCAACACAAGGATATTAATGAAATGAAAGTAACAAGGTGTATTAGGACAAGGCACACTAAATGAACATTTCTAACCAATATTTATCACAAACTGAAAACTCAAAGTTCAGCTGCATATAATCCGTCTAGCACGTGTTTCCCAGAATCCCATTATGTTAATTAGAAAAGCATTCAGAGAAATATTACATGGTTACTCAACTGAAACCCAATTATTCACTATGCTTAAATAGAATATGATGCTAGACAGATTTGAACTTCCATATCAACTTATGATGTGGACTAAAAGGCTTGGATGAGACAGCTCAAGAGCACCACATATACTCTTCTGTCATCATTTTCTATTCTTCACGGAGACAATTAAGGTAGAAACGAGTTATATATTATCCCTTGCAATGGAAGGAACAGAAAGTCCTGTCAACGCTTAATTATACTACAAAAAATCCATCTGATCAAAAAAATTGGCTACATTATACCAGAAGATTTCTTTCCTAAAAATGAAGAATCCTCAACTGTAACTTTGGCAAAAGTATCAGATCCAGGAAACAATAAGCTAACTAGAAAAAATGAATATACAAACAGTCTCTTTCTCCTTCATCAAATAAGCAGATTCAAGCATGCATCAAATTTATCTAGCAAATTAGCCCAGAAATAAGCTCTCACCAAGTTGCAAATCATGATCATCTGCAGATGCATCTGACATGTCAGTGTCGCGTACAGCAATAGTAGAGGAAGAGTCATCCATGGACATAGCTAGAGCCTGCTGTAACAATGCATTCTCATCATCCTGTAAGAATATATCATCTGTTAGCAGCAGTGTTTGACTGCAGTTAAAAAGATCACAGAACACATAACTTCTAGATCTTATAGTTCAGGGTTGTTCCGAATAAAAGTTGCAATACCTAATACAGTAAGGAAAAGAGCTTTCACATGCAGAGGTAAACCAAGAGTTTGAAATTTTACATGGAAAATATGACTTTCTATTTTCTAAACAGTAGTTTCTTGACAAGTACCAGGAGAAGCTTTTCTTGATCCTCTATCACGCACCACATAGGACTACAGAAGCTTTTCATTAGGTTGCAATCAAATATTAAAAGGTCCCTTCCAGTAGAGAATAGTGATTTAAAATATAATTGAGGAAGAACTGTTGAATTTTTTAAATTGTGGCTGAATACAAGAATGAAAATTTAATAACTAGATATAATATAAAAATAGTAACATAATGAAATGATTATTAGTTTGTAGTAAATGAGCAGGTGGGATAGTGAATTCGGTAGATAATAAGCAGTAATGACTGGTTTTATTTTAAAAATTGCATGAGTAGTGCCCGTTTTGCATATTTGTTTCCCACCACAACTTTGTAAAAATAAAATGTCTTTATTGGAAAGAAAATGAAAATTTGTGGTATTCAATAGCAGCCTCAGTTTCTTCACTTGATCTGCCTCAATCACACTGTGCTTAGTTTGAAATTTTTAGCTACTCATAAGTTTCAGAGAAGCTTCTAGAAATTCTAAAGAATGCTCACAGACAGTTCATACAAGAACAGAAATACAGGATTAACATGTATCCAAATGTGAATCACAGAGTTCAGGTATGCCCGTACAGATCTAGGACAAAAGACTGATAAACTTAACATGCACACCCAACCTAATCAATATTATCTAAAGATCAGATCAAACAGCATTTCCCTATAAACTTATCTAAGTTCATCTCATTTACCATACGTTTGTCAAGTATCAAACATCCGAGAACTTTTAATTTATATATGCAGGAAATATGACAGTTTAAGTTACTTATGAAAACTCATGAGTCCTGTAAAATCGTAAATGACGCAAACATTGAACTCAAGTGTCTACAAGTCGACATGTTATGAAGCTTTAGAATAATAAACATATAAGTCCAGACGCAGACAACAAATTTACGTGTTAAACTACATAAGCCCTTTGAATAAATAGAGTTCCAACCGTTAGATCATTTGTCTTCTTTTCCGGTTGAGAAGTTCCAGGGTTCGTATTCTCGGTCATTGTGGCATCTTGTATCGTGGTCTGTTGTTCTCCCTTTTCCTGTTTGGAAGATTCTTCTGCAGCCTTCTTCGCAGCTGCTTCTTGCCTTGCCCTCTCCTCTTCCATTGATACCCTAAGTGCAAGGGCAAGTTCAGGATCCAAGTTTGGATCCACACCAAATTCAAACCCAGAAGCAGCTCCAGCAGCTGCATAGGCACTTCCCCCTTCTCCATCTCCAGTAAAGATTGGGGTACTGCACAAAAATGGAGAGAGAAAATAATTATATATTTTACAATTGACATTGATTTCAACTACAAATTAAGAGATAAGAATAGAAACCTGATAAGCACATCTGAAAGGGCGCTAGGACCAGGAGCAACATGAACAATATGGCTGCTATCATTGTTATTTACTCCAGCAAGCAATGCCTCAAGCTTTTCATTCTTCTCTTCATCTTCTTCACCAAAGTTTACAATGTCAAGAGCAACACTGTTCTTTTTCAGTTTCCTTCCAATCAACTCAAGCACCTTCTTCTCATACTTAACAGGGCTATAAACTCAGAAAACAGAAAGCGTAAAAAGGTTAATATGAAAAAAATAGACTATAGCTTTATTCCAGTGCAAATATCGAAATGTATTGGTACCTTCCTGCAAACACAATAATCCTTTGCTGTTGCTTCTTGTTTTGACGGTGCTTGAGGGCCAACTGAGCAACCTGGATCCCAGCGGCCAAATTCATCTCACCGCCTATCTCTAAACCTATATATATATAGATAATATCAGCCTACGTACTACAATTACAGTCCACTTACTCTCAAAAAAACTATAATAGACGAAACATAACGAAGTTTTTCACCCTCCCACATCAATAATAAACCAATATTTGTCATGTTTCCTTCTTCAATATCAGAAACACGTGAACGACCAAAACTTAAAAATAATATTCAATCTTTGGGCTCAAATATCATTCTTAAATCTCAATTTCAAATTTTTATACATAATTTCCAGTAATCTCAAAACTAATACTACAAATCAAAGACGTAAAATGGTTGAAATAAGAAAATATCTAACCGTGCATGCAAGCCAAGATCTTGCCAAGGTCACTGGTCGGGGTGACCAAGACACGAACCCCCTTTCCTGCCATTGTTAAGATTCCCACTGTATTCTCAGGATTTGACTACAAATAAAACAGAACTATTAGACAAATTAACAAGACTTCACAAGATTTAGATGAGAACAATCCAAACTAACTTGAACTAATCATATTATGGGTACAGAAACATAAATCAACTAGTCAGGACATCAAGGTACCAAAATAAAGATCAAATTATAGGAAAATACTTGAGTTTTAGCTCCACAAATCAGATTGACGGCGTCGCATTGGGCTTGGAATCTGTTCGGAGAGTAATCTCCGTTGCGCATCCACTCCGAATTGTCGATGCAGATCATCGTTGCCTATTTCAGCATGAACAAACAAACCCTAATTTAAAAAGATTGAAAACATAAAAGCACATACATGGAAGATCGAGATGAAGGACGAACCTCGAGCACCATGGCTGCAGAGATTGGAAAATAAATTGACTGGAACTGAACAACCGAACAAATGATAAATCTGAATGAGTGAATGTCTTTGATGCGAGAGATGTTGGGGTTTCTTGGACGAGGGTATAGTGAAAAGTTCAATGTGGTAAGGGGGAGAGTATTTTTATATTTTCCAATTCATTTTTTTTTTTCATTTATGATTTTTATAAGGTCAGAGTATTATCTCGNGAAATTGATTTGAGCAGTACGAATGAATATTCTTTATTTTCAATTTTTTTTTAAATGATAAAATTTTATAAAATAAAAACAAATAATTATAACTAGGCAATAATAGAATTAGCCAAATAGCTATCTAGCTGAATCTAGAGACGATCTCGACACCAATGAGGTATAGAGAACTCTAATACACCTACGAAAAAAATAAAATAAAAAACTTCCACTACAGAAGAATACAACTCCTACAAGAGAAGACTAAACAACTACTAAGCAGAATAAAAACACCTATAACAACACTACTAAAAACACAAACACAACAAAAAAAATTAGATAATATAATAACACCCTCCTCTCTGTGCCAACAAACAAACCGCAACCCGACTCAAATTATGTGATATTCATGTCTATATGAGTGAGGTTAGATGTTAGAAATTATGTGATATTGATCATGTTGTGAGATGTGAAAATCATGTGTAGAAGTTTGGTTTAAGTTGCCTTATTCGAGATTTGATCGGTTCAAGTTTCGTCATGATATACGTGTATTTTCGCTATTTTCTGTCCCTCTGTTCATGAGTTGTTTTGACCTTAAGGATCGTGTTTCTTGACGTTGCACTCTTCATATGAATTGTAGTTCATTCTGTTGGCTTCCTGCAAGTTCAAGAAGCTTGCAAAAACCTTTTGTATTTTGGGAGATATGATCGTTTTAAAAAACACCTCAATTTTTTTAAATGTCGGAACAGACGGTTCGCCCCAAACCGGGCTGGGACCAACAGGTCAATTGTGAACCGAGAACTGTCGGATCCTTGAACCAACATGTATATATACCCAAGTAGGTTCCGATTCACATAAAATGCAAATTTAAACCGGTAGTTTTGAATGGGATCGTGGACACCTCTATTGACATGTCGTATGTAACTTTCTTCAGTTATTAACATATTATTAATATATATTGTCGTTTAGGGAGAATAAGTGTTAGATATGGTGTTGCATATTTTCTCTTTTCTCTGCTATAATTTCTCTCTCTAAACCCCCCCATTCGAACAGAGCACCGGCAAGTAATTTTTGACCTCCCCATGTCCCTCTTACATACATCTCTAGGCTTTCGACGCCGACACCATGGTTTTCCCCCTCACGAGCTCCGCTATCTCGACCAGCGTTGGAGTTGGACCTCACAACTTATTTTTTTCCTCTTCACCAAGGTGTTGGTCGGGGAGACCTAGCAAAAGAGGGGTAGTGGTGAGCTTTTGAGATAGACTCTCAGTTCTGGGTGGCCGTAGATCCCCTAGATCTGATAGCCGACAACAATGTTTGGATTTCCAGCATACCCTTATATGTGCCAACTTTGTGTATGGAGTTTTTAGATTTTGGTTGTGATTTGTGTTTTTTTGTTTCATCTGAGTTTACTTGCCTCTTGCTTTGGTTTGTGATGTTGGTAACAGTGGAGAGTTTGGATAGGGGGAGGGTGAATTCTATTTAGTAGTTAGCAGGTCTTTGTATTGCAGGCATGTGTTTGTATTTTGTGTTTCTTTCCAAGGTTATTGTCCATTTTGTGGAGTTCTTATTCTCCATTATTGGAGTTTTTTAGTCTCCCTTTATGGGAACTAGTACAGTACTCGTGCGATGCACAGAGCTTTATTATTTATGTCTCTTTTAAAATGCAATTTTGAATTAAAATTCAAATTGTATAATAAAAGAAAGATCATTTCATTACTAATTACTAAATATAATAAAAATAAAATATATATATTATTGAACACTTCCTTACCAAATGGTATGTACCTCTTATAAAAATCTCGAATCTTGGGAACATCAACACCGATGAGTATGGTCACATCCTTTGATGTGGTTATTCGAACTTCACCTAATTAAACAATATATAAAATTAGCCAATCAAAAAAAAAAAAAAATGAGTTATTTATTGAGTTTAATTATATTAAAATTAATGAAATACCTTCTCACTTCTTCGCACGGTACATTTGCATGATGAGGACAAAATATTCTTCTTGATTTTGCTAATGATGCTCAAAAGCAATCAATTGGTCAACATATTGGCCCAAAACGTATAGTTCTTAGTGTTTTTCCTACACAATGTCAAAAAAATTTAAAAGGCATATTATATATTCAAAACAATTATTATATATACTAATAGATCAATAATATGAATATATAATGTTAAGAATTCTGACTCTAAGTCCATAAGAGAGAAGGCGATCATTTGGGTAGGAACTACCTTGACAATCTTCATTTGAATAGATTGTATAAAAACAACCAATTCAATAATATCTACAAAAATATAAGACAATTTATCATATTAAATTGTCATAATAGATTTTATTACTTTGAATTAAATATATAAAATTTTGAAATAAAAATAAACAAAAATTTAGAACGTACAAAACAATATGGATTCGTCCTTCCACTTGTGAAACTTGGTTTGACCGTTAATAATGATCCTCGAAGTGCAAATTGTCGATTTGTAGAAATGGCAGTATTGCTTTCCACTTGGTAGTTTTTAAAGATATAGGCGCCACCTTCTTCAATTTCGTCGATAAAATATTGACAGGTCGGATTGCACCAATAATTCATCCTCCCTAAGAAAGTACATATTCAATAATTAAATAAAACAATCATAAAAAATGTAGCATAAAATGATGCTTATAAATAATAACATAATGGCAAATTACCTCAGAATCGTGAAATATAATCTTAAGAACGTTTCGATAATTGTGCTCATCTTCAATGCGTTGGAATATTATAATAATGCGTAGCTTGATCATTCGCTTATTAGTTCTTTTATATCTTTGATTTTTCCAAAAACCAAAGTCATTTTGAATGGGGATGGAAAAATTGATTCAAAACTTTATTTTGTGGGATGCATTATTTCTTATCGATGTTTGGTTCAATGATCACATTAATGTGGTGCTTATATAGTGATTGTGCATGTGCCATCTATCTATAAATTTAAATTTAAAAACATATTATAAAAAAAATTGAAAATAGAAATTTCAAATATTTGGTAATGTAATCAAGGATTGACATTGAATTGATTTTATTTTATTTTATTTTCATTACTAATTGGATAATGATTGACACGAAGTTCAAAGCTACAAATTTTGTTACAAAAGAAAAAAGGGTAGAAAATCTAAATTGATTTGACTTATAATAACCTAAAAATCTGTCAATTTTTATGGGATATCAATTGATTTGAATTTTCAAAAATTATATCGGTCCTCTCCTTTTAGTCGAGATCTTTGAACCTCATATTTTAGTCGAGCTCAATTACATCGATCCTCGTTCTATTCGCAGCCCGCCTACAAGGTAGTTACAGAGCCATGACAACATTGGAATCACTTTTTTGCTTGGCATAGTTGCAGTACGAGTTTTCTCTGGTCTATTTAACTAACTGAAGCTAGCCGAGAAAACTGTTGAATTGAATTTCTATAATGCCGTGCAAACAAAATAAAGAGAAGAAGTGGATTTCATTTCATCAAAAAAAGCCGGGAAAACTAACTTTTTCTAGTAGTGTCTGCTCGAGAAGACCTATCTTGCCTGATCAAGACCTAAAAATCTGTCAATTTTTAGAAATTCACACGGATTTTGTTAGGAAATAGAAAGAGGATCATTTCACGGAAGATAATCATTAGCAAACATTTTTTAATGTGTGTCGAGAGTTTGTTAAAAGAGTTGTGTTGGGAGGGTGTCACTAGTACTGGAAAAAAATCATCGCATACATGTACCGAATATACTTCCCAAAATTAATTCATTAAAAAAAATTAAAAGATGACCAAATTTGAAATGATTTGTATTTGGATTTTAAATTTATTTGAATTTATTTTCCTAAATAATTGGATTAGGATTGACATAAAAAAAATTATCCGATTTTGTTAAAAAAAGGGATATGAAATGTGTTGTATTGTGTTTGAAATATAAAAAATTTGAATTAAAAAAATATTAAATTTATTAATTGAAAAAAAAGGATACAAAATCGGCGTGAGGATATCCCGTAAGAAATATGAAATTGCACGTTATTTCATAATAGATCTAATAAACTAATAAAAAAATATGGGATAAATTAGTTTTTACATATAAAATTATTTTTTTCTAAAAAGAAAATAAGATACAAATTCAATTAAATATGCACAAATTATGTATGGGATATCAATTGCTTTGAATTTGATTTACCAAAATTATTTGATTTGTATATCAAAAATGTACTGATACGTTTTCTAATATGTGTATCACATTCAAATCTCACATTTTTCAAATTCAAATGATTTTCAATTTTATGGGATATTTATTGATTTGAATTTTGAAAACCTAAAAATCTTTAATTTTAAAGACATTCACATGGATTTACGCAGGAAATAATAAGAGGATCAATTTAGTTACCAAATAAAATGGCTTGGCAATATACAATTCAAATGTCCAATTTTTTAACCATTTATCACGTGTGTGTTTTAATTTATTACTTATAAAATTCAACCATTTATTTTTTAAGTCAATTACTATTTATGTATTTTTTCAACAACTTTTTTATGAAATTTGTTAAAAAAAAGCTCAAAAAAATCTGATCATATTATGAAGGTTGTTACAAAAAAAGTTATGCTAAAAAATTTGAACCCGTTACCAAATTTTCATCCAGAGATTGTGTAAATAATTATGAAATTTGTTATAAAAAAATAAATAAAACGCAAAGAATCCGATCATATTGTGAAGGTTGTTACAAAAAAAATGATGCTAACAAATTCGAACCCTTTACAAACTTTCGGCCAGAGATTTTGTGCAAATATTTATGA